GATAAATAGGTACAATTTATGTAGGATGATTTATTTAATCTCTGCATATAATCTGAGCATCACTTCATATGCTGCTAATGTTTTTATAAATGTATGTTTTAATGTAACTGTGAAGCACTTTGGGCAACAACATTGCAATTAAATGTGCTATATAAATAATTAAAAGTTGAAATGCATTTCTCACTCTATCAAGCTTGCCATGTGCACTTTTTAAATTTGATCAATCAATTGGTTAGTGTAATGTTTACTATCTTTACTCACTCCACACACTCCACACAGTTTCTCTGCCCATTCTATAAAGTTACTCTTCCCAGTCCAACCTTTTCACAGCCAGCCAATTCTTGATGATACTGATCCAGTGGTCTGACGCTTGCTTAGAGCTGTCCCTGCGAGCAGAGAGTGCCCTGTGAGTGATTGGAGTTGCCTTGTGTGCCTATGGTGTGCCAGACGATTCTGCCATCCTTATCTAGGCCCAGATGACCACATTTGGATATTATATATATGCGCATACCTTTTGTGCTTCTGGTGAGTGCATTCATATTACTGGTCCACGTCATAGAGATCACTAGCACGAAGCACAGATCACCGTTATATTTGGACTGTTTTGCATTTTATCTGAAAACGCACTTTAGTCACTTTATATCAGTTGACTGTATTAGCTGGATGCATCATTTCATGATGGCTCACTCACTATTTAACACTTTTTAGCGCTTCATAGCGCCTCATAGCGCCCACTCCATTAGTATCATTAGTATTATTATTAATATTATTATTGTCTTTTATCATCTATATATTGCAACTTTTTAGCTCTGCATTTATATTTATTGGATTGTTTGGAGGTTAAGAGGTTTTACCGTTAATGTCAGCTGCTTTCCTGACCTTGCGCTCGCATGCAATTTTATAAAATTTTTATAAAAGTCTACACTGTTTCCACCTACAGTAGTTAGCTATGTAGTAATGCCGAAGACACAACCATACAAACAAATTGTATGGAATTCGAGTCGAATATTGGAAAATTTTCGATTCGCGCCGAATCCGAAAAATAGCCTACTTCGGACGCGCGAATCGAAATTTTTCCTAAAATGGCGGCGGACATGTGCGGCGACGGAGCGGGGATGTCTGGGAAGGCGCGCAGACAAGGCGCGCTGACCCATAATGCATTCCTTAATGACATGTGATCGCATTAGCCAATCAGCAGCCAGCCAGCCAGCACTGTGTAATGGTCGAGCTATAAATAGCGGCCATTTTAGAATTCTTCATTTGCCTCCAGTCATTCAAGAGAGGCAGACCGCTCTGTATTAGGGACAGAGTTAGGGCCACAGAAACGTTACTTGGGGACAGAGAAACGTTACTTAGGGACAGAGAAGCATTACTCAGGGATCACAGAACGTTACTTAGGGCACAGAATTGTTAATGAGGGCCACAGAATCGTTACTTAGGGCCAAAGAAAACGCTAGTTAGGGCCACAGAATTGTTACTCAGGGACAGACAGAATTGTTACTGAGTGCCAGAGAATTGTTACTTAGGGCCACAGAAACGTTAGTTAGGGCCACAGAATTGTTACTCAGGGACAGACACAGAATTGTTACTGAGGGCCACAGAACTGTTACTTAGGGCCACAGAAACGTTATTAGGGCCACAGAATTGTTACTCAGGGACAGACAGAATTGTTACTGAGTGCCAGAGAATTGTTACTTAGGGCCACAGAAACGTTAGTTAGGGCCACAGAATTGTTACTGAGGGACCACAGAATTGTTACTGAGGGCCACAGAACCTTAGGGCCACAGAAACGTTAGTTAGGGCCACAGAATTGTTACTCAGGGACAGACAGAATTGTTACTGAGGGCCACAGAATTGTTACTTAGGGCCACAGAAACGTTAGTTAGGGCCACAGAATTGTTACTCAGGGACAGACACAGAATTGTTACTGAGGGCCACAGAACTGTTACTTAGGGCCACAGAAACGTTAGTTAGGGCCACAGAATTGTTACTCAGGGACAGACACAGAATTGTTACTGAGGGCCACAGAATTGTTACTTAGGGCCACAGAAACGTTACTCAGGGACACAGAATTGTTACTACTGAGGGCCACAGAATTGTTACTGAGGGCCACAGAAACGTTAGTTAGGGCCACAGAATTGTTACTCAGGGACAGACACAGAATTGTTACTGAGGGCCACAGAATTGTTACTGAGGGCCACAGAACCGTTACTTAGGGCCACAGAATTGTTACTCAGGGACACAGAATTGTTACTGAGGGCCACAGAACCGTTACTTAGGGCCACACAGAATTGTTACTCAGGGACAGACACAGAATTGTTACTGAGGGCCACAGAATTGTTACTGAGGGCCACAGAACCGTTACTTAGGGCCACAGAATTGTTACTCAGGGACACAGAATTGTTACTGAGGGCCACAGAACCCGTTACTTAGGGCCACAGAATTGTTACTCAGGGACACAGAATTGTTACTTAGGGCCACAGAAACGTTACTCAGGGACACAGAATTGTTACTGAGGGCACAGAATTGTTACTTAGGGCCACAGAAACGTTACTTAGGGACACAGAATTGTTACTCAGGGACAGACACAGAATTGTTACTGAGGGCCACAGAATTGTTACTTAGGGCCACAGAAACTTAGGGCCACAGAAACGTTACTCAGGGACACAGAATTGTTACTGAGGGCCACAGAACCGTTACTTAGGGCCACAGAATTGTTACTCAGGGACAGACACAGAATTGTTACTCAGGGACACAGAATTGTTACTGAGGGCCACAGAATTGTTACTTAGGGCCACAGAAACGTTACTCAGGGGCACAGAATTGTTACTGAGGGCCACAGAACCGTTACTTAGGGCCACAGAATTGTTACTCAGGGACAGACACAGAATTGTTACTGAGGGACACAGAATTGTTACTGAGGGCCACAGAAACGTTACTTAGGGCCACAGAATTGTTACTCAATTGTTACTGGGGCACACAGAATTGTTACTGAGGGCCACAGAATTGTTACTTAGGGCCACAGAAATGTTACTTCAGGGACACAGAATTGTTACTGAGGGCCACAGAATTGTTACTTAGGGCCACAGAAATGTTAGTGTTACTTAGGGGCCACAGAATTGTTACTCAGGGACAGACACAGAATTGTTACTCAGAGGGACACAGAATTGTTACTGAGGGACACAGAACTGTTACTTAGGGCCACAGAATTGTTACTCAGGGACACAGAATTGTTACTGAGGGCCACAGAACCGTTACTTAGGGCCACAGAATTGTTACTCAGGGACACAGAATTGTTACTGAGGGCCACAGAATTGTTACTTAGGGCCACAGAATTGTTACTCAGGGACAGACACAGAATTGTTACTGAGGGCCACAGAATTGTTACTGAGGGACACAGAATTGTTACTGAGGGCCACAGAACAGTTACTTAGGGCCACAGAATTGTTACTCAGGGACAGACACAGAATTGTTACTGAGGGCCACAGAATTGTTACTTAGGGCCACAGAAACGTTACTCAGGGACACAGAATTGTTACTCAGGGACAGACACAGAATTGTTACTCAGGGACAGACACAGAATTGTTACTGAGGGCCACAGAATTGTTACTTAGGGCCACAGAACGTTACTCAGGGACACAGAATTGTTACTCAGGGACACAGAATTGTTACTCAGGGACACACAGAATTGTTACTGAGGGCCACAGAATTGTTACTTAGGGCCACAGAAAACGTTACTCAGGGCCACAGAATTGTTACTCAGGGACACAGACACAGAATTGTTACTCAGGGACAGACACAGAATTGTTACTGAGGGACACAGAATTGTTACTGAGGGCCACAGAACCGTTACTTAGGGCCACAGAAACGTTACTCAGGGACAGACACAGAATTGTTACTCAGGGACAGACACAGAATTGTTACTGAGGGACACAGAATTGTTACTGAGGGACACAGAATTGTTACTCAGGGACACAGAATTGTTACTGAGGGCCACAGAACCGTTACTTAGGGCCACAGAATTGTTACTCAGGGACAGACACAGAATTGTTACTCAGGGACACAGAATTGTTACTGAGGGCCACAGAACCTTTACTTAGGGCCACAGAAACGTTACTCAGGGACAGACACAGAATTCTTACTCAGGGACAGACACAGAATTGTTACTCAGGGACACAGAATTGTTACTGAGGGACACAGAATTGTTACTGAGGGCCACAGAATTGTTACTCAGGGACACAGAATTGTTACTGAGGGACACAGAATTGTTACTGAGGGACACAGAATTGTTACTCAGGGACAAACACAGAATTGTTACTGAGGGCCACAGAACTGTTACTTAGGGCCACAGAAACGTTACTCAGGGACACAGAATTGTTACTCAGGGACACAGAATCGTTTAGAATTTTAATTAGAGTATGTCAGACAACATGCAGAGGAGTGGCAGAGGAGGCAATGTTTTAGGAGCGAGCAGACGTGGCAGCAGAGGAAGGGGTCGAGGCAGCACTATTCGCAGCCAGAGGCTAGTGCTCCCGGTGTCATCCAGTACAGTGAGGAAGAGCTAACAGAGGGCGGTCAGGAACGGGGGGAGACATCCGCCTCTTCAGCAGCCAGGCGAAGAAGTAGTGGCGAGGAGAGTGGCTCGGTAGCCGGTCGTAGAGACAGGTCTGTCTCCTGACCCACACGCAGCCGAGGGGGCTAGTAGTGAGGCGGAGACCCTAATTGATGATGATGAGGCTGATCGCACTTGGCAGCCTCGTCGTCATCAGGCTATTGCTTCCGCATCATCAGGAGAAGGGGTGGCAGCTTGGCAGCGAGCAAAACAGTCGGTGGGTTGTCTCCATCGCCACACTCTGCCATGTGCCACTTTCAGGTCTCCTCACACACTGCTGGTGTGTTGAATTTTTTGACATAGGGTGCTGGCAGATTACGGGCCTCCCATAGCTCCCATAGCTGCTGCCAGGCCCCTAATCTGCCATGGGCCCCTATATACCGCCTCCTCATGCTGCTGCCAAGTCCAGAGTCTCTCATGGGTCCCTGTACGGCCTCCCATTGCTGCTGTCTCCATCGCCACACTCTGCCATGTGCCACTTTCAGGTCTCCTCACACACTGCTGGTGTGTTGAATTTTTTGACATAGGGTGCTGGCAGATTACGGGCTCCCATAGCTGCTGCCAGGCCCCTAATCTGCCATGGCCCCTGCCACCGGCCTCCTATGCTGCTGCCAAGTCCAGCCATCCCTGTAGGGCCCCTATACACTACCGCTCCTCCTCATGCTGCAATGACTAGGGTGCCAGATTACGTCCCATAGTGCTGCCAGGCCCCTAATCTGGGGCCCTGTACGGCCTCCTCATGCTGCTGAGTCTGGGTCCCTGTACGGCCTCCATTGCTGCTGTCTCCATCGCCACACTCTGCCATGTGCCACTTTCAGGTCTCCTCACACACTGCTGGTGTGTTGAATTTTTTGACATAGGGTGCTGGCAGATTACGGGCCTCCCATAGCTGCTGCCAGGCCCCTAATCTGCCATGGGCCCTATATACCGCCTCTCTCATGCTGCTGCCAAGTCCAGAGTCTCTCATGGGTCCCTGTACGGCCTCCCATTGCTGCTGTCTCCATCGCCACACTCTGCCATGTGCCACTTTCAGGTCTCCTCACACACTGCTGTTGTGTTCAATTTTTTGACATAGGGTGCTGGCAGATTACGGACCTCCCCATAGCTGCTGCCAGGCCCCTAATCTGCCATGGGCCCCTATATACCGCCTCCTCCCATGCTGTCTGCCAGGTCCAGAGTCTAGTCATGGGTCCCTGTACGGGCCCTCCCCTCCTCATTGCTGCTGTCTCCATCGCCACACTCTGCCATGTGCCACTTTCAGGTCTCCTCACACTGCTGGTGGGTTCCATTTTTTGTCATAGGGTGCTGGCAGATTACGGGCCTCCCATAGCTGCTGCCAGGCCCCTAATCTGCCATGGGCCCCCGTACCGACTCCTCATGCTGCTGCCAGGCCCGTAATCTGTCATGGGCCCCTGTTCTCGCTTGTTGGCATATTCCGCTCGTTCAGATGCTCCTTGTCCTGCTACTCCTCTTCACGGATTCCGTCAGCAGTCTTTCTTGGAATCCGTTTCCAAAAGACAACAGTTTGCGAGCACGCACCCGACGGTGCAGAAGCTGAACGTCCTCCTGTCCAAGTTGCTGCTGCCAGGCTCGTAATCTGTCATGCGCCCCTGTACCGCCTCCTCATGCTGCTGCCAGGTCCAGAGTGTGTCATGGGCCCCCGTACCGACTCCTCATGCTGCTGTCAGGCCCGTAATCTGTCATGGGCCCCTGTACCGCCTCCCCATGCTGCTGCCAGGTCCAGAGTGTGTCATGGGTCCCTGTACGGCCTCCCATTGCTGCTGCCAGGCCCGTAATCTGCCATGGGCCCCCGTACCGACTCCTCATGCTGCTGCCAGGCCCGTAATCTGTCATGGGCCCCTGTACCGCCTCCTCATGCTGCTGCCAGGTCCAGAGTGTGTCATGGGTCCCTGTACGGCCTCCCATTGCTGCTGTCTCTATCGCCACACTCTGCCATGTGCCACTTTCAGGTCTCCTCACACTGCTGGTGGTTTCCATTTTTGTCATAGGGTGCTGTATGGCCTCCCATTGCTGCTGCCTCCACCGCCACACTGTGGCTCCACACTCTGGTTTTGGCCCCGTGACTGCCCAAATGAGTGAAGTGTGCGGTGATTCTAAGATCGACGGCACTCATCTGCATGTCATACTGACTGACAGTATTATTTCTCTTCCCCAGCAGACTCCAAGGGCATTTAAATTAAAGGTACAGTGTTCTGCACTAATATTAAGTCTCTCTGAAGCCTAGAAACACCCTTTTTTAAGTTAAATTCACAGCGAATATATTCGACTCGAATCGAAATTTTTCCACGAATTCGCCGAATCAGTCGAATCGAATTTTTGAATACTTCGCTCATCTCTATTTATGGTGTATGGTTATATGTTTTAAAAACATGAAGGCTCCTTTCACACAACAGGTCTGATCAGGTCCACCTGTCAGTTTTTCAAGCAGACCTAAACGGATGGTCCATTCAACTCTATGGACTTCATTCTTTTACTCCTGCCTACCTCCAATCCAATCCAAAAAAAAAACAAAAAAACGGAAAGGGATCAGCTGCCTCCGTCTTGGCACACCAGATTGAAGGGCAGTCTGATGTAATTGGACAGCAGACTCTGTTTATTCCAACTGCTCATAGAGCAGAACTGGCTCTGTCTCTGACCTATCATCCACCCCTTCTGCTCTGATCAGGGGACAGATCCTATGGTGATCAAAATGAAGTCTGTCCCCTGAGAAGCTGTTCCTAGGGGCATATTTATAAAAAAAAATGCATTTATCACAAAATATACACCTCTGTAAAAAGTGTTTATATTTATTTGATAATTCCCTGTAGTGTTCTCCAGACTTTTTACATTCCATCTGTGCAGATGTGCATGTATTTTCTATTGCAATAAATCCCAACTACTCTACTACAAGGCTCCCCTCACTGCTTACCCAACTAGAGGATCCAAAATGGTCCATAACCAGTTAGTATCAAATTCAGACAAAAAATGGATGGAGCTGCTCAACTTCAAAAAGTCCATGATACATTTATGAGTATCACCCAATACACGCATTTTACTACAACAGAAGCTGAGTCATAGAATGACTAAGGCCCTGTTGGAGTGAAGCATGTAAGATTGAAGATCAGGTTTCACAGCTAATTGATACAGTAGTTATTCAGCAGTTAAGGCTAGGATCACATCAGTGTACTGCACTGGTAACAATATGTAAAGAAAAAAAATTTGTGAAAATAATTTTTTAAATTTTTTCATTTTCCGAAAAATTATGACAAAAAAAATACAACTTCAAAAAACTCGCAATGCCTCTTATGAAGTAAGTTGGACTGTCTACTTTGCAAAAAGTGGTCATTTGGGGGATATCTGTACTGTTCTGACATTCTCGGACCTCAAGAAATTAGATTGGCCGTCAGTACTTCAGGACTGATCAATTTTCAGATCTATACCATAGTTTGTGAACTCTATAACTTTCCTACAAACTAAAAAATACATCCTAATTTGGGTTATTTTCACCAAAGACATGTAGCAGAATACATTTTGGCCTAAATTTATGAAGAACAATTATTTATTTGCAAACTTTTATAACAGAAACAAAGAAAAACGTGTTTTTTCTTTCAAAATTTTGGGTATTTTTTGTTAATTTAGCAAAAAATAAAAACCCCCCAGTGATGATAAAATATCACCAAAAGAAAGCTCTAGCTGTGTGAAGAAAATGATAAAATTTTAGTTTGGGTACAGTGTTGTATGACCGCGCAATTGTCATTCAAAGTGTGAGAGCGTTGAGACCTGAAAAATGGCCTGGGAGGAAGGGGGTAAAAGTGCCCGGTATGGAAATGGTTAAAAAAAAACAAACTTTAATGACTTTTAGTGCACACAAGCACAATATAATACACAATTTTTGTTAAATATAAAAGATGATGTTATGTCGAGTAAATAGATACCTAACATATCACACTTTAAAATTGCATACATCCATGGAACAGCAACAAACTACAGTAACCCAAAATTTCCATAGGTGACACTTTAATAATAGCCATTATAGGTTACCAGTTTAGAGATACACAAGATATCTGGTGCTAGACCTCTGTCTATTTATCTCTTCTCTGCCCTGACAGCATCTGCTGAAACCAAGATCGGTTTGTTCAGTTCAGATGCTTTACAAGCCAGCAATGGCTTGTAAACTTTAAAACAGAACCAGAAGTGATGAAATCCTCATTACTTCCAGTTTCTTACACCACAGAGGGGAGGTGGGTATGGATGTACCTTCCTCCCCTCTGAGTGCACCAATCTGAGATCCAAGAGGTGGCGGTAGGGGGGACCCTCTTCCATGACCTGTAGAAGAAGCTATACAGTCAGCTGGATCATTTCTAAATAAAAGCCCATAACTAGATGAAAACTGTTGATACTGGGATGATACTTGCAGGTGCAGGCATCATCCCGGTATAACTGCTTGAATCTGAGGATGTATGGGTACGTCCTAAGGGGTCAAAGTGGTTAAATTGGTTAAACATCAGGATATTCCTGTTATAAACATAGTAAATTGTTTCTTTGTATGATGATATACCATTGTGAAGCACTTGAAGTAGAAGGAAAGACAAAGTGCACCAAGCATCTCCAAGCCACCTGACAATACCATTTCAAGTAAAAACATTAAAAACACTAAAAAATCTTTTAGGTGTTTTTAGTGGCAGTGACACAAGTGCAAACTTTTAAGTTACACATTCTTTTGCAAGCAGTGGGCAGAGCTAGTCTGTCATAGTGTTCAAAAGTAACATGTTCCAGAGAGCATTCAGAGCAGGTGCACTGGCGAAAGTGTGCAACATGTACAGACACTATGTACATAAAAAATTGGGAAAGCTTCTGGGTGCCAATAACACTAGGGGAATTATAGACTTACATGGTAGTTGCATAGCATTGTAGGTCTGGAACCAGGAATACATTAGTTAATGGGGAACTGGTAGGATCAACTAGTTATTGATTTATTATAACTAAGAATTTAAAACTGATAATATTTTTATTTTACACTCACCGACCACTTTATTAGGTACACTTGTTCAATTGCTTGGTAACAATAATTGCTAATCAGCCAATCACATGGCAACAACTCAATGCATTTGGACATCTAGATGTGGTGAAGACAATTTGCTGAAGTTCAAACTGAGCATCAGAATGGGGAAGAAAGGGGATTTAAGTGACTTTGAACGTGGCATTGTTGTTGGTGTCAGATAGGCTGGTCTGAGTATTTCAAAAACAGCTGTTCTACTGGGATTTTCATGCACAACCATCTCTAGGGTTTACAGAGAATGGTCTGAAAAAGAGAAAATATCCAGTGAGCAGCAGTTGTGTGGATGAAAATACTTAGCTGATGTCAAGGTTGTTGAGGTTAGAGGAGAATGGGCAGACTAGTTGCTTCGACATTCAGATGATAGGGTCAGAATTTGGCGTAAACAACATGAAAGCATGGATCCATCCTACCTTGTATCAACAGTTCAGGCTGTTGGTGGTGCTGTAATGGTGTGGGGGATATTTTCTTGGCATTAGCAAGGTGTACCTAATAAAGTGGCCTGTGAGTGTATATGGAACTATCCAGAGAAGACATTTTATTTTTTCCTGGAGAAACACTTTAAGCAGACTGTACAGTATCAGTTATTCTATCATTATTGCTACAGAAATAACCATAACACTGAAATAAATTGGTATATTTTCAGCTAGTTAGATGTAAATGGTTCAAGCATGGAAATGTTAGCAAGTTAATAAATGAAATGAAAGGTTAATTTCAGCTAAGCTTTTTTCTAGCTTTCAATTGAGTGGGGATGGGTTAGAAACCCTTAGTTATTTACTACTGTACTTAATGTCTTCATTGCCTTTTACGTTATTGGATAATTGAAGTGAACATTCACACAATTTATTGTGGAAAGATTCTTCATTCCTTTAGTAAATCAGCTTCAATGTGTCAAGTTATGACATGGCATCCCGAGATTACAAAGTGTAGGGGGATCTGTCCAACATGGACTCTGGAATCAAAGAAAAATGTTTGCTGGCTCTAACACTTCTCTATTCTACTCCACCCTTTTC